AGGACTGAGCTGTACTTGCAATCATACCTACGACATTCCAGTCTGCTGTCTCCCATCTGTATGGGACCAGGCAAAATATCAATAAGGAATTACAATAATTTGTACAATGTTTTGGGAAGCAAAGAAAGAAATACCTCAATCTACAGACTATGTTTTTTATAAGATAGCAGTAAAAGCTATAGAGGAAATCATTAAAATTTACTGCCACACAGAAAATGAGCATTTTCACATCTCTCATGAAAAACAGAAGTAGCCATTATTTTTCAGTCCTCTACCATTCTGTGGGTCATTTTCAACAGAGCTATCCAGGCATGGAATTTAGGCTGTAATTTTCACAGGGACTCCAAGTGAGTTAATGGCCTAATCTTTATCAAAGATTCTGGTCTTAACTTTCGAGTTGCCAATTGCAGTAACCATTCCCATAATCAAATATCATAATCAGTGATCCTTCAGTGCTTTTGTTCCTTAAACTGGCTTATGTTACTCAGTCTGACATTTCAAAAAGGGGGAAAAAAAAAGGCAGCACATTATGGTGGTTTAGTTATGTTCTTCCATTTGTGGATGTTAAACAGCGGCACCATAGCTCTGCCCATAAATGCAGACATCTGAACAAACAGACCTACTGAAAAAATATATTACAGCTGCACAAAAGTAAATATGGACCTTTTTTTTTTCCCTGTGCCTGCAGGAGAATCACCACAGTAAAAATAAATACAGATGCTAAAACCAGGAGGATTATACAAGTTAGAACTGGTATAAGAATATGCATTTTATTAGCATAATTTATATTCTAACATGCCAATCTGGTATTGAGAAATGTAAGGAGTGTCCAGCCTCTGACAGGATGGGGCCCTGCTGCTTTCTCTTTATCACCGCAAAATTAAGGTTAACCTAACTCCATGGATCTCTTACAAATACATATAGAGCCTCGCACAGAAATGATCAACTTATAAAAATGTCAAATGCTGCTCTGTATTAATGGAATCAAAATGACACACGTTAAAGAGAAAATTCAAGCTATAGATGGGTGGCCACTCCCATAACCATTTACACGTCACTGGAGTTTGGACTGCTGCAGACAAGGGCATAAATTCAGCCTGAAAAATAGTGCACTCAGAGTGGCCTGGCTTAGTTCTTGGAGTCACACAAACTCCATTTAACACCCACATCTCTAGGGCTGGTGTTTCTGCCCTCAGAATAAAAAAGAAAAAAGCTACACCTTGGGAATTTGCATATGAACATGCACAAACACCACGAGGAGCTCCCAAGTCCGTCGGGTACCTGTTTTGAGCTGAAGACAGCCTATGATCCCGTCACTCTGCTGATCTGGGAAGAGCCAGGACAAAATAAAGGTGCTATGTATTTTCTCTGACAGGCATTTCCTCATCCTATTCCCACACAGCCCACATTTCAATCCTGCAGAACTCAAAGGATTCCTATTTTGTGATGCAACCAGCCAGGCCAGTTGGAGGAATAGAGAACAAGGTGTGAGCTCAGGCTCTGCCACACAGATCCACAGTGTGGCAAGGCATTACCCCTTTTTTCTTCCTGTATTATGTATTCCTGAGCTTTCCCCAAGCCCCTCTGTCTACATCATCAGACCACACAGCCAGTCCAGAGAAAGCGTTGTACAGTCCAGGGCAGCATTCATCTCATGAGATCAAACCAAATGTTTCTCTGTCAAGAAAAGGGAAGGTGGCATTCTAAAGGCATGGGAGCAAGTTGACTGCTTAAAAGCTCAGAGGCTGCTGCCAAGTGCCCAGAACGAGAGGCAGAGAACTGTGGGGCTTCTCCCACGCTGATGTATGAGGGCAGGTCAGCGTAGGCTGCCTTGAGCCCCAGCAGTCTGTCCTGTCTGCCTCCACAACCGCATGCTCTTCCACCGCAGAAGAGTACAAGTGCCGTGCCAAAAACCTATCTATGAATGGCTGTAAAGAACTTTTCTCTAATGCTCTTTAATAATTAACACACTACTAAAGCAACAGTGCCAGCAATGGATCCAGAGGGACTGCTTCAACGGCTCGGGAGCCCATGCATGAGGCCGCATACAGCTGGCTAAATCCTGCGGTGCGAGCATCGGCGTGCTACTGTGCCCATTCTACAGCAGACGGAGCAAAATGGGCATCATGGACTGGACAGGTGCTATTAAGTCAGGTACAATACCCAGCCCTGCTGCTGGCACAGCTCAGTCTCTCAAATCCCTTGCTCTCAGCCAAAACACCAAGAGCTCTAAAGGCAGAATCGGCCCCGGCTGCCTGCAGAGTCTCGGTCAACTCCCAGCTCCTACCTCTGCCCCTGAACAGGGTAATGACACCGCTCTGCTTCACAGAGAGGGGAGGGTATTGATTAAACTCTGCAACAAGGGACAAAGCATCCACTGCAAAGTCCTTCCCCCTGACAAAGTTCGAGTAAATGGAAACTGCCAGGGAATCCATTACCACTTTGCAGGCTAGAAACAGAAAATAACGATTGGCCCCCATTTTATCCTGGAAAATTTCACATGTACATACAACTCCTAATTAACAGGAGGCTACCAGGTACTTGAAAACAACTGCTGATTGTCTATATGTGTGTGTATATATATACAGACATGAATGATATGAATGATACAGGAGCCCTCAAAGTCTTCATCTGCAGAGTCCTCGTCTGCTTTTTCACACAAATCACCTTCATTCTCTTTTGATACGCAAGTGTTAGTGTAGACTGTTCTTTCACTGATATTCCAAGGTCCTGAATTACTGCGGTGGACCTCTCCGGGTGAGCTACTTCCCCGCACCAGTACACGTGGCAATACTGTTCTGCACACCAGGAAAGCCAGCACGTGATTTTAAGCACCCTGAACAGAAATACTGGCTTCAGGCTGCTGCTGTTTTATTTATTCTGTAGGCAGGACGAAGCGTAACACAGAGACAACTGTTGATTTCCTCAGTATAAGACCAGGGGTTTAACGTTCTGCAGGAACACTAAGAGCCTCAAAGTTGACCATCCAGGATAGGCAGATACAGCAATTCCTTAACTCAGACAACACTGCACTTCAACTGGAGCCCCTACCTGAGACCCTGTTTGGTCTTACAGACAAGTGCAGTGCACCTCCCGCGCCAACCCACAGTACGTGACTCAGAGGAAAGTTAAGTTTCCTCATCTCTTCATGCAGAACAAATAAAAGCCACTGCAAACCAACAGGCTGACGGAGGGAGGGAATCCTTCCTGACACTTTTTCTCACTATTTTAACCTCTGAAGGGTGAGGACCAACATTCTCTGTGACCCACCTGTCAACGTAACAGCGCTGACTGCTTTATGAATAAATATGTTTGGTTGGTTTTTTCCTTTCCTCCATAACCACACACTTATCAAACCATGAGCCTCAACAACAGCCAACAACAGGAAATTCTACAAGACAATGATGCAGAGCACAAGAAACATTTATCTTTTAAACCTACTCCTTAATATTTTCAAGTATTTCTTCTGTGTTCAGGAAGGTCTTCAGTATGTCATTATTTTAGAAACTGCTATAATTTCTCTCCTTAAGTTCTCTTTCAGCAGAGGATCTCTTTCCTTTCCCAAACTGATTCAGGGTAGTCTCCATAATCTCTCTTCACTGCTCTCTCCCACCTTTCTGGTGATTCTAATTGCTTCTGTTACCCTTCACTGAAATGAAGTCACCAAAACTCAATATTGAGTTCACAGTGAGGCGAGTCAATCAATTCATACAATGACATGATAATATTTTCTAACTGATTCCCTTTCTAAATATACATCAAGTGTTGTATTTAGGTTCTGGAGGCCCCGTGCATATCAAGTAGATGCCTTTATTAAGCTGTCATCTATGACGTGTGAATCCTTCTCCCAAGAGGTTACAAGTAATTCAGAATCCAATAATGCATACAAGTAATTTTAAATTGCCCCTTCTACTTTAATTACCTTGCAAGTGCATTCCATGTTAGAGCTACAGCATGCCGCCTGGCAACTTAGCTCTCCTCAGTCCTCCAGCAGTGCACCTGACAATCACTCACAGCATTCATTAATTGATTAATTCAAAGCCTTTCTAGAAAGCAACGTTGACATCTTACCCACTCCTCATCCACGTTATTGCTAAACATACTAAGTCTAACTAGGTCTACTGTTCATTTTAATTTCATTTTGTATTTTGTGTAGGGACTTTAATTTTTTATTTATTTTTTGCTATTTTCTCTTTCCATTCCAGAAGAAGCTGTTTAACGGTCACATACCTGATGACTGTTAATTCACGGCAAAATTTCGGCACCTACCCTGTGGATCCCTCAAGCTCCCTTAGTCTTCATTTGCAAGAGATTTTGTTGACAATTTTGATTGAATAGGCAGGTTACGCACCATTGTGCTCGGTTTGGGTTTATTCACGTCAATTTTGGGGTTCTTTTCTTAGAAAACTTGTTTTAAGGCTAAAGATAATTCAGACAGGCAGTTTTGCCCTTACAACAGAAATACCAATGAAGCACAGGAACAAAGGTCAAACACAAGTAAAATTTGAAACCACAAACAAAAGCTTTGTTTCTTAAACTTTTATACACTTACCTTGACTTTGCACTAGAATCTAAGTACATGTGTGCTACAAGGAGCAACTTGGAAAGATAACGGATCGTACGCCTTTGCTAAGGCATCTCCTTTGCAACACTAATGTGGCTCTGAAATTGCAAACCTATCGACAGCGTTCGTAGTAAGGCTCATTGGCTTCTTTTCTTTGAGGGCGGGGGATGGGGCTGGTGGTTTTGTTGGTTGTGGTTTTTCAAGTGGCAGATGCACTTGGCAATATCTGTGACCTTGAGCTGTACACATGAACAAGAGAGAGCCCAGTCCTGCAAGGCTGTTTATGCATTCCGAGAGCGCTCCTTCTGAGAGGGGTGTCTCAAGGAAGACAGAAGCATGATGCGCATACCGAGCCAAGTGCTTCATGATTTATTTATAGGGAAAAGGGGCATAAAAATTTGCTGAAGGGGAAAGAAAAATGAAGAATCTGACTTACCTTGTCGGTGTAGACAAAGAACAGAATCACAACAGTGAGCTCCAACAGAAATATAATTAACAGCATGATAAAAAACTGTCAAGAGAAGAAGGGACAGGGGAAAAAAACAAAAGCAAAAACCATCAACATCTATTTCAGCTTTGTCTGGATGCACAATAAGTACATTCAGCAAATCATGCAGAATGGGGAGTGGGAGTCATACAGGCAGCAAGACGCAAAGCTGCTGTGTTTCGGCAGAACAGAAGGCACGCAACACGCAGCAGCCAGAAAAGCAGTTAAAAGACTAGTCGGGAAACACAGCAGTATCCGGGCATGTGTATGCTGGGCTCAGCAGAACAGCACAAAAGCCCACCAGTATCTGTCCCCCCAGCAGGCCAGTGCTCCACCTGAGAGCAACCCTTGAAGACTCTTCACAGGATAGGTTTTCTTTGGTTTTCCCTCCATCGCATCTTTCCAATTAACAAGGTATCACAGAATCACAGGATGGTTAGGGTTGGAAGGCACCTTAAAGCCCATCTAGTTCCAACCCCCCTGCCATGGGCAGGGACACCTTCCACTAGACCAGGTTGCCCCAAGCCTCATCCAGCCTGGCCTTGGACACTTCCAGGGATGGAGCATCCACAGCTTCTCTGGGTGGAATCCACAGCTTTGCCTGCCCATTGCAAGGGAAGGTAGCCTGGTCCGCAAACCATAACATCATAGTCCCTTTCAAGAGGAATTGTGGGGGAAGTGAAGCACATCAAAAAGCTTATATACAAAGTTAGCTTTACGAGCAGTTTCGGCTGGCCACACAAACCACCCGCAGGTTTCAACTGAAAGGGACTGATTTGTACTGAAGACATCAAAGCAAAATCAGACCATCTCTGTTTCCAGCATAAGCCAAGGAACTGTCTAAAACCCCATAGTCAAAAGCTTGAAGGAGTGCATAAAAAAACCTTTTCACACAGGAATTTCAGGTAGAGTCTCTAAAGCCTTCAGCTCTGATGCACTTCAGCATGAGGAAGTGTTGGCCTGAAACACCATGTCCCCTGCTTTTTGTCAAGATGCCAGTCGTGTCTGCAGCAGCATCAACACAGTGGCTGCACAGACCAGAACAAGCACTTTCAGAGCATTAAATGAAACTGAGTTTTGCAAAGATGGGGAAAAGAGGCAGTAAATTTGGAAACTTTTTAGGTTCAGGCAAAGGTCCTGCTCCCTATAACACAAGCTCCATACACTTAGCAGCCTGCAAGGCTGGAATTCTGATACTGAGCAACACTGATTTAATTGAAATCCCCTTTCCAAGAGAAAAAAACAGTTACCGTCTCTTTAGCTTCAACCACAAGGCTGCAAAGCTATGAAAGTTTAATAGCCACAAAGCCTTATCAGAGCTTCTTCGCTGCCCGGTAAGTCAAAACCAAGCCTTTGAACCTATGGATTCCTGTGATTGAATGGAGGGCAAAAGGTCAAGAAGGGGGAAATACCTTTCTCCACGAGCACAATTACACTGTCTACAGAACTCATTGCATTCTGCCCTGCTAGTCTTAAATTAAAGTTTATTTTCAAATCTTCATCACTAGTATCTTCACACCTGCCTGACACTAATATTGGATCCTATTACTGCCCAGTTTTGAATCACAGAACTCATTCACGCTCGTGACCCAAGCTGATTTCCATATCATTACCATCCAACCTGACCTTCTGAAGATGGCTTTGCAAACCAGCCTCAGTGCAGCCTGCTGACTTCCTACACGTACATTTTAGCCTGCTGCGCAGCATTAACTGAAACAGGAGAAAGCACATCACGCTGCAAAGAGGCACAGACACTTTCCTGTACGTTATTTGGCTCTGGGGTACTTTTTCGCTCATCCACAAAGCATCATTTTTCCAAAATGTGCATACAAACACCACTGTCTCCCTGTGAAATTCGCTGTCATAGCCTGGATCACATTAGGACAAAGGAAGGACCCATTATAAACAGTGATCAGCATTTCCTACCAAAGGACCCCCATTTGTCTATGCTTATATATTCTGAGCCCATTTCTGTCTAAAGGATAAAAGCTTTTGGAAGCATTTCAAAAATAGCACCTCAATTACTGCTAAGAACAAAGCAGGGAAAAGTGTGTTATTCTGCCCAGGTTAGATTTCTGGTGGCTTAATCTGCACCCCCCTCATGTTCCGGTGTTTAGAGCAGGGGGCTGAAACGAAATGCTGCTCCCTTTCAGGCTCGTGCCTTTTGTCTTACCCAACCACGAGCGTATTTTTGTGGGAAAGTGATTAGCCTCCAAAAAAATGCGTCCGACACATCCAGTAGAGACGAGAGGGCTCGCCAGCTAAAACCATCAAAGTCTACAACCACAAAAAGCCTCCCCACACCCTTCCTGCAGCTCAGACATGACCAGAACGCTCGCAAACCATCCCACAGAGTTCGTCCCCACTCCTGGGGTGCCCACCCACACCTGCAATGCCTTTCTGCTTCCCCTCAGAGCCAGCAGCCTCCAGTCCTGCTTCACAGGACATCGCCTGGAACAGCGGGTATGGACAGGAGCTGGACTAAAATTCAGGAACCTGTTTTTCCTGTGGTCTCCAGAAAGCTTTTCCTCCCTTCTCTGCACTCACCATCATGGAGACAGTACAGATGAAGCCAAGGAATGACTTTGCAAGAGAAAAGGGAGCCTGAGGAAGAACGTTTTTAACCGCAGATGGGGAATGGTTTGGTTCAGGATACGACTCGGCCACCCGTTTTAGAGAAACAGGACCTCATGGGCAGTATCCGACCGGGGCAGGAGACACAAGGCAAGGCCCGTGCGGCGGCCGGGGACGCCTGCGCACGCGGGGACCCAGGAGGAGCTGTGTCTGAGGGGATGGCAGCCTGCGGAGAGCCCCGGAGATGCCGGAGCTGTGGAATAAAAAGAGCAAGAAACCAGGAGTGGCAGAGAAAGGAAAGCACCCCGCACTGACCCCTGTGACTGAGCATAACGTGTGGGGAGCGGACTGGAGACCGGCAAGCAGGGAGGAGAGGGGTGTGTGGGGGAAGATGAGGTGTTTTCTCAAGTGTGCAATTGCTTGCATCATTCTTTCTCAATACCCAAATCAGTAATTAGAAGTTTATCTTAACTGGCAATAAATTAAATAAAATTTCATGACTCAAGAGTGGTTTTTAGGACCGGAGCGGGCAGCAGCTGTTACCAGCTGTGCCACTGTGTCCAGCAGCAGAGCTCTGTAGGCTGGATCGCCTGGCACGACCAGGATGGTGCTCCTGCCTTCTTCATTTCGTACTCCAGAAACAGGTGTGACATTGCCATCATAAAAGATGCTAAAGTCGTGAAGTCAAGCATTCAAAATATAGGAAATCTCAGAACAAAAAGTTTTCTCGGTGATGGTTATGTACC